AATATCCAAGTTGAACAATGCCACAGCAGCAGCTCTCTCCCATTCCCCTTCTTGTACAAGGGAGTTCAAAAATGGCCCCACATCTACATCCGTTCCTTTCTTTATCCACCCACAAAGTTGTAAAGCTAAGATTCTCTCTTCATTTAAATTTTGAATATCACTTTGCTTATCCAACCCACTCCAATTATGTCTGCTGCTTTCCACCATTCCTAAAAACAAAAAACATTTATATATTGTTTTGTTATTTTGAAATATATTTTGAAAATAAGTCAGTTTTACAGAGAACTATTTCGACACATTTAGAATATTTAACTTCTTGACCACAATTTTATGATAGTGTAAATATGAAATATGCCCCAAATATAACATATTTTGCATGTTTTTAAATACAATAGCTCCTTGAGTTACCAAAGAACTACTGAAATAAGAGCAAATGCTCAGATGAACTGACCGCTTCAGAGAAGGTTCCCTGGCTACCTAAACTAAATTAGATACACCTGTTATTATCTAATTCCCCACTCATTGTTTCCTCTATTTCCTTTAGCACTTTACATGTGCTCCCATGTAGTTATTAATTTATTTTTCAGTCTTATCTCTTCTCCCACTAGCACGTAAGCTCCAAAAGGGCAAGTGTCTTGTCTGTTTTATTCACGAGGTACCCCTACTGTCTGAAATCAAGTAAAGTACTCTTTCTTCTTTCTCTGTATATTAAAAAACAAGATTATAGACTTGAAAGTACATTGAAAGTTTAAGGTAAGTAATAACTTTAACATACAATGTGAATAACTTGAAGGCTTTTTTTCCCCTTACTAATTCAGAAAATCTCATTTATCATTCTTTTTTCAGAACAAAACATTGCTATTCTTGTAGCATTATTTACATTGCAATGAAGGCAGTTGATCCTAATGACAGAGTAATTTCACTTAGAATGATACTTAGTGCCAAATGACGTCAAAACAAATAAAGGTGACACTTAAGAACTGTAATAACTAATTCTTAAATGTCCTAAAAAGTTTTACCATCAAAATTGTCATTACCTAATTATGTTTTCTAACAAAAAGGATTTTCAGAATAAATTACGAATTAGGCAACATGAATGTCCAACATTACCAACTTTTTATTTTTTGTAGTAATTTACATTTTATAATTTATAGTAATTATATATTTATACGTTTACATCTAATACTGCAATTATACATCTGTAAATAACTAGATCAACAAAACAGTTTCTAGAATTCCTCATTCAACTTGTTGGTTGTAGGCAGAACTGTTAAGAAGGGCTCTATTCCTGTCCCCCTGGTAACCACATTCTTGTGTCATCCCATCCCCTTGAGTACAGGTAGAATCTACAACTTGTCTCAAGATAAAGAATATAGCAGAGATGAAAGCATTTTGCAGATATAATTAAGGCCCTTACTCAGTTCACTGAGTGAATCAAGGGAACATTATCCTGTGTGGGCCTGACCTAACCAAGTAAGTCCTTTGAAAGAAGGTCTAGAGGTAAGAGAGAAGCAGCACAAGACACATCTCCTGCTGGTCTTGAAGAAGTAAAAGCTGCCATGCTGTGAGAGGGTCTATGAGAAGGCCACGTGGCAAGGAAGTATGAACAGCCTCTAGGGAGCTGACAGCAGCCTCTGGCCATCAGCCAGCAAGAAAATGGTTACCTCAGTCCTACAGCTGCAAGGAACTGAATCCTGCCAACAATTCCATGAACTTGGAAGAGCACTCTGATCTCTAGAAAGAAATACAGTTTGGCTGATACCTTCTGGTTAGCCTTTCTGAAACTCTGAATAGAGGACTCAGCTAAGGTGTGCCCAGACTCCTGACCCATGGAAATGATGAGATAGTAAATGAATGAAAATACACCCTCCAAAGTTAATTTAGCTGTAGTCATTCTGGTCAAGGAATTAAACATATAAACAAACCCAAGCAAAAATAAGAAAATATTAAAAACTTAATTCTCATTTGCAAGTTAAATTACATAAAATTTTCCTTTTTTTTTTTTTTTTTTTTTTGAGATGGAGTTTTGTTCTGTCACCCTGGCTAGAGTGCAGTGGCATGATCTCAGCTCACTGCAACTTCCATCTCCCAGGTTCAACCAATTCTCCTGTGTCAGCCTCCCAAGCAGCTGGGACTACAGGTGCACACCACTCCGCCAGGCTAATTTGTTTTTAGTAGAGACCAGGTTTCGCCATGTTAGCCAGGCTGGTCTCAAACTTCCGACCTCAGGTGATCTACCCACCTTGGCCTCCCAAAGTGCTGGGATTATAGGCATGAGCCACCGCGCCTGGCCTATTTTTACTCTTTTCAAGTATTCAGACTAAGTGATTTTTAAGAAAAATTTTAGGCCAGGTGCGGTGGCTCATGCCTGTAATCCCAGCACTTTGAGACACCGAGGCGGGTAGATCACCTGAGGTCGGAAGTTCGAAACCGGCCTGGCCGACATGGTGAAACTTGGTCTCTACTAAAAACACAAAAATCAGCCAGATATGGTGGTGTGTATCTGTAGTCCCAGCTACTCAGGGGGCTGAAGCAGGAAAATCACTTGAACCTAGGAGGTAGAGGTTGCAGTAGCTGAGATCACCCAAGCCTGGGTACAGAGATTCTGTCTCTTAAAAAAAAAAAAAAAAAAAAAGGTAAGATAGTACATAGCAAAGGTCTAAACTCTCCATTATACTTAATTCATACTTGTAAAAACCTTGTATGATTATCTAATTTTAGGCTGTGACAAGTCTAAAGTACTATGCATGTTAGTACATATTTTATATCTGATTTATGAAAAAGTTTCAAGATGTGTTATTTGTAAAATTTGGAAATTCAAAAAATAGTTAATTATACTTGAAGTTACTTATTTTTTAAACTGACCATTGGAAACTATTGCCAATTCAAGTCAAGAAGTTAAGAGGAAACTTCTAAAAAGAAGTTTCCTTACTTTAAGAGCACTAAAAAGCAGCAGCATGCTACTTTATTTGCAACCATGAGGAGAGTCAGCCTACAAAAAAAATCACTTTTAGCTTATGAAAGTGGATCTTTATAATGTGAAAACTCATAACGATTAATGATAAAGTTAATAAAACACTTAAAAATTAAAACATTCATTCTGATTAAAAAATTTTTAATAAAACACTCATTTGAAAATCAAAACATTCATTCTATATAACATTTAAATTGTCAGGGCAGAATTCAGTCATTAAATTTCAGGTAGAGGCTAAGATGTATTATAAGGTATTTATTTTCACATCTCTCCTATAAAATTTTGGATTCAAAGCTGGTATTTAGCGATAATAAAATTTTAAAACAGGTGAGCAAAAATCAGCAATTTATTTTTCAAGTGATTCCTTACAGCTTAATAATATAATAATATTCTAATTTCTTTAGAGTTTTTATAGAAATCATGTCATGGAATAGAATAGAGAAAAATACAGTCACGTGTTGATTAACAGTAGGGATACCATCTGAGAAATGTGTTGTTAGGCAATTTCGTTGTTGTGTGAACATCACAGAGTGTACTTACACAAACCAAAATGGTATAGCCTACTACATACCTGGGCTACATGGTATAGCCTATTGCTCCTAGGATATAAACCTTTACAGCAAGCCTGTCTAACCCACAGCCCAGGAAAGCTTTGAATGTGGCCCAACAGAAATGTGTAAACTTTCTTAAAACATTGCGAGATTTTGAAGAAGGGACTTTTTAAAAACTTTTTTTATTTTTTAGCTCATCAGCTATCATTAGTGTATCGTGTGTGGCACAAGACAATCCTTCCAATGTGGCCCAGGGAAGACAAAAGATTGGACACCTCCACTTTATAGCAAGTTACTGTACTGAATACTGCAGGTAACTGTAACACAATGATAAGTATTTGTGTACCTAAACACAGAAAAGGTAAAGTTAAAAATACAGTATTAAATCTTATGGGGCCACCATCATATATGCAGTCAATTGTTAACATTAATGTCATTATGCAATGCATGACTGAGTATGAATTTAAAGAAGTCACTGCAAGGAGGTGAAAATATTAATATATTCTGCATGTTAAGAACATGGTTATTGTATCATATTTTTTTTTTGCTTAGAGACCTTTTTATTGATTACTATGCTACAGTGGATGATTAGGATTATCAAATAAGCAATATGACATCAGTGTGGGTTTTAACGTACAGTTATGAGTTTAACATATAAATTTTTAATATGGCTCTGAAAATGAAGTAAAATATATTTATGCATGTCATGCAACGCTAAATAAAATTGTATGCCCTAAATTTGAGATTGTCCTATAAATAATAGGAAATGTTTTATTGATGGCTGCAAGGAAAATAAGTTTATTTAAACATTAAAAATCAGGATTCAGGCCAGGCTCACGCTTGTAACCCCAGCACTTTGGGAGCCCGACGCAGTCAGATCACTTGAGGTCAGGACTTTGAGACCAGCTTGGCCACTGGGGCAAAACCCTGTCTCTACAAAAAATACAAAAATTAGCTGGTATAATGGCATGTGGCTGTAATCCCAGCTACTTGGGAGGCTGAGGCACGAAAACCACTTGAACCCAGGAGGTGGAGGTTGCAGTGAGCCAAGGTTGTGCTACTGCACTCCAGCCTGAGTAACAGAGAAAGAGATTCTTATCTCAAAAAAAAAAAAAGGAAAATTAAGATTTAAACATTTCTTTCAAATCAGCAAACCGACACTATGCTCTTTGTAGCTATTAATCTGTTGCATTTTAATATCTATATACAAAGCAATAACATTATCCAGTTTATAAGAAATCCTAGCTATTTTTCCCTTGAAGTCATTTTGTCTAAAAAAATTTCTCAGTTCTCTAGATTACATTTAAATCCCACCCCCCACCCAAAAAAAAAAAACAAAAAAACAAAACAAAACAAAACAAAAAAAAAACGAGAGACACAGGGTCTCTATGTAGCCCAGGCTTGCTTCAAACTCCTGGGCTCAAAGGATCCTCCTATCTCAGCCTCCTGAGTAGCTGGAGCTATAGTGCTTACTCTTTTTTTTTTTTAAGTAAATATAGCTATGTTGTAACAATTTTATTTTGATTTTTAAAAAATGAGTCTCTTGATTTTTAATCAGGGCTTTGGGGTCATGGGGGATTAGTCAATGTCACAGTCATAATGACGCACTTATTCAGGGAAAACTTTAATTTTCTTTGTCTTCTTCAAAAACAGCTGCTGGAACACCTCAAATTAAGCAATGTTCATCTAAAACACCTTTACTGAAACTTGACTCCTTGGGCCAAAGGAAGGTCCTTACTGTAGCTGATAGTACAAGTAGACCTTCTCATGTACTTTTTCCAGGCATCACTGCTAGACTCCCTGCCACCACCAGTGTGCTTTTCTCCTTCAAAGTCACCTCCAATCTCAGCCCCACTTGTTGGAATGTTGACGTTTACAATGCCACAGTCTGATCCTTTAGGTCCGAGCCAGTGCAAGATTCTGCCCAGATCTTTGGTAAAGATGCTACTTGAAAGTCCCTGTTTTACTTCATTATTCCATGCAAAGACCTCTTCTTCATTGTTGAATTTAAAGACATAGAGAATCGGAGCAAAAGTCTGTGTGTGTGCAATGGATGCACTGTGGCCAAGACCTGTCACAATTGTCGGTTCTACATAATTTCCAGGGCGATCCATAACCTTGTCCTCATAGACCACTGTGCCACCTTCTTTCTTTACTTCTTCCACTGCTCCAAGAAACATGCTCACTGCCTGCTTAGTGTGGAATGGCCCACAGAGAACATTAGAGTCCCATGGGTTCCCAACTCGGATCTGTGCATAGGCCTTTTTAAGTCTGTTTACAACCTCATCATGGATGCTTTCATGCACAAACAGTTGCCTCGCAGTGGTACACCTCTGGCCAGCTGTTCCCACAGCAGCGAAGAGAGCTGATGGAACAACTAAGTTGAGGTCTGCATCTTCAAAGGCAATAATGGCATTATTTCCTCCAAGTTCCAACAAACTTCTCCCAAACCTCTCCTGCACCATCAGAGCCACCTGTTTTCCCACCTGAGTGCTCCCAGTGAAGGACAGCAGGTTCACTCGTTCATCTTTGGCCATTGCTGTGCCACTATCTGCTCACCACAAGTCAAGGAACAAATTGCACCAGGCAGCCTGTTGTCCTCCAGAACCTTGGCTATTATCTTTGTGACAGCCACACTAATCAGGGAAGTTATTGGAGCTCCTTTCCAGAGGCAGACATTTCCACAGATCAAGGCGATGGTGTTGTTCCAGCCATACGCTGCCACAGGGAAATTGAATGCAGGGATGATTCCAACCAGGCCTACAGGATTCCACTGCTCGATCAGTGCATGGCAAGGTCTTTCAGAAGGCAAGATAGGTCCTCCAATCATCCGTGATAAACCAACAGCATAGTCACAGATATCCACATACTCCTGAACTACTCCCACACCTTCCACTAAGATTTTCCCCATCTCCAAAGACACCAAGCTTCCTAGTACTTGGATCTCCCGCAAGGCATCGCCAATCTGTCTTACTATTTCTCCTTGTTTTGGAGCAGGAATATCTGCCCAGATTTTCCATGCTTCTCTTGCTTTTACGGTGTCTTCATAGTCTGCAACACTGGCCTGACGGACTCTTGCTACAGGCTCGTTGTTAGCAGGACAGTAAGTGATAATAACCTCTCCCCAGCCTCCCCAGCTTCCATTATACACACCCTCGTTTTCCTCTAGGAGGCCCAGCTCTTTCAGCCACGAATACTGGGGCTGATTGATCAGGAGAGTGGACATGAAGGCGGCAGGCCTGCTCCAAGGATCAGGGAGCTTGTTGGTCTTTGCAGTGTGCACACACAGCATATGGGGGAGGCGCCACATACTGAGCCTAGAACTTGGGGTAGAGCTTACTCTTTAAGGATTAAAAATATTCATGATGGATGAAAAGCAGGTCAATATTTTTTATACAACTTTCTGCCATCTTAAAAAAAAAAGGAATTATACCTACTAATAACACTGTGAACTTGCTATACAGGACTGTAGAAGAGATTTCCTCAGAGCATGCATTTTCCTCATCCTGGGTTAATTTCAGCCCTTAGCCCATTCAACAAACTAGCCTCTCTCAGTTCCTTTGCTCCTTATCTCCAGTAGTCTACACCTCCAAGACTTTAGCTACTCCTTTCACAGCCATATTCGAAACTGTCCTCCTTCCAAAGAGCTAGTGTCTAACCCCATGTAGCCTTCCAAAAATCTCAATTTCTTATATTTTTCACAATCTCACAGTGTCTTCACCCCTATTATTTTTACTTATCAGTCTTATCCTGTCTTCATTTTTCATTTCTATCCAAATAAGATCCCAAGGGTCAAGTGAATCACTCTCTCGCCAATATAGTAAATTATCTTGCCCTGCTGTCCTTTATTCTACCTTTTGATAAAATAATATTAACCCGTAATCTTCCCATGTTTCTCTCCTTCCTCGTTGCCCATGGGCAACACCCCCCATGGGCACCGAGGAAGGAGAACTGTCCAGACCCCCAGGCACAAGCAGTGCCTGAAGAGTATCTTAGTTTATAGTATTATTGCTCAGCTGTTTCCTTTATATAATCCTGCATAATCACATATTAGTTTAAAGAATTAGTGCTTGAAGTATAACTTACTGCTTATATATAGTTTACATAATCATACTTAATACTTATATCTACTTAGTTCTATATAATCTTTGTGTATAATCATATAGGTATTGTAGTCAGAGCTGTACTGACACATTTAGTGCTGATTTATATAATCCTTCCATATAACCATATAGTAGTATGTAGTAGGAGGAATGCCTAGAACAGTCACACAGCAGAAGCAGTAGATGGGAAAACAGCCAGACCAGAACAAGAACCAAAGAACCAGGCGTCCCTGCCTGAAAGGGCATATGCTGTGTGGCAGGCTTGGAGCAAGTGCCTCTCCTCCTGATAAAGGAGTTGTAGTATCGGGCATCCAGTTCCTGTGGAAAGTAGGCCTCAGGCCTGAGATCCTGGAAGTAACCAAGGGAGAAGAACCCCTCTGGGAGGGAGAAGAACCCCTCTGGTGTGACCAGTCACGGCGGCTATACACCCTGTCAGTCTTTTCTCACTTCTGTGTTGGCTCAAATCATCCTCCCATAAATATCTTAAGAGCATACGCCTGTCAGCTCCCACTACATTAAGCTTACAGTATCCTCCTATTAGAAATCCTTTGAAGTCTCCAGCCCTCAGATAAGAAGTGTTGCACATGATACCTGTTGCATACAGCCCACCTCCTTGCCTCGGTGGCCTAATGGGGGTGGACCCCTTTTCTGTATACGACCCTCTACTACTGCGCACAGCCCACCTCTCCGCCCAAGTGACGTAATGGGGTGGCCCCCTCGCTTGTAACTCATGTGATTATGTACGCCCTATTACTAAACCTATAGATGATGACCTCACTCACGACCCTGCCCCCTGCTTGTACCTAATAAATACAGATGCTCTTGGGCATTTGAGGGGCCGCCACTGATCTCCACTCACAGGTGGTATGGCTCCCCAAGTCCAGATGCTGTTCACCAGTTCTTCAGTGTCCTGTCTCTTTACTTCTCGGATCCTGCACCTCAACACAGCATAAGGGATACCCCATGACCCTGTGGGGCCTCCACAGCCCTACATCCTCTTCTCCATATGCTCTTCCTACAAGCTCCCTGTTACTTCTCAACAGGAGTTATAAAATGAGAAATCCCTCAGCCTTTGGTCATTGAACCTTAAACAACCTGCATACGGCATCCTTTCCTCTGGCAAACGTGGAGGTGTGCACCCTTGTATCTAAAGCTAAATAAACCTGTGCTCTGGATCCCATTCCCTCCTATTTCTAGAAGTTTTGCTTCATTCCCTTCTCTCTGCATATTTAACCTCTTTCTGTGGGTTTCTTCCAATCAGCATTTAAACATGCTTAAATGAATCCCATGTTGAAAAGAAAAATAAAGCAACACAAAGCTCCTGGTTCCAGATTTGCCTCCTCGTATGAATATCATTTCCTCTTTTATATAGTCAAATTTCTTGAAAAAAGTATTTATAATTGATGACTTCATTTCCTCAACCCACTCTGAATTTCTAATCTAACTGCCATTGGCTATCCATACAACCAGTGAAGACCTTCTCCTATTCCTAAAATCAGTGTGTCCTTTTTAGTTCTTATTTGGCTGGATCTGAAACATGGAGCACTGCACAATTGACCTCTCTTCCCTCATCCATGTGAATACATATTACGTTGGTGCAAAAGTGATTTGCGGTTTTTGTCATAAAGATCTTTCTCCTACATCTCTCGACAATTCTACTCAGCCTCCTTTAAGCCACCTCTTTCTGTTCTTACTCTGAACAATTCCATCTACTCCATCAAATGTCATTTATTTAAAACATACATTATATTCCTCCCTTGAGCTTTGGACTCATATCCTATTGCCCAAGGGACATCTGTACCTAAGTATCTTGATTTCAACTTGCTCCAAAATAAACGCAAATACTCCTCCGATGTTGTTTCTAATTAACATACTTAAAATTAACTAGTTTCCCAAACTAAATATGTGTGTGCTATCTTTGACTTTTCCATCTTCTCCAACCCCTTTATCTACTTAATCATGACTTAATCATTAAATTTTGTCCTATTCTCTAATGTATCCACATTTCTCTAGCCCCTCTGTTACTAACTTTGGTAAGGATACCATCACGTCTTGCCTCCTTACAGCAGGCTTCTATCAGATGTCCCTACTATCACTCTTGATCCACATTTTTAAAACACAAATCTGTCAAAATCCATCCATATCCCTGCCTTACAAGATGAATCTCCCTAAATTCTTAGCATGATTTCTAAGTCTTTCCTGAGTTAGCTTATTGCTTAGCTTTCTAGCCTCCACTCTTTCCTCACTTGCTCTCTCATGCTGTCTTCCAGGCATAATAATGTGCTATGCTCTCTACCCTCTGGGCCCACTGCATATGCTGCTTCCTGCCTGGAACTTGTTTTTGACTGTACCTCCTCTGAGAAACCTCTCATCCCTGCAACCAGATTAGGAATCCTTCCTGTATATAACCGTTTGTTCTTCCCTATGTTATAACTGCCTGTTTACTTGTCTATATTCTAAATTAGAATGTAAACTCCCCAAGAGCAGAGACAACTTTGAACCTGCTCAATCTCCATGAAGGAAGAGATTTATATATCTTCTTGAGAGTTATGTCTCTAGTTCCTAGGATAACTCCTGGCATACAGGGAGCATGTAATAAATACTTGCTGAACGAATGAGCTTACTTCATATTGTAGTTGTAAAAATTAAAGTAACATGGGAAAAGAAACTAATTCATAGCAAGCACTTATATATATACATACTATTTGTTACCAAAATTAAAATCTAGCTGTGTGCTGTAATAAACTTGTGTATTAGGTTACTGTAGACAAGATGGCTCAATGTGTTGGCTTACCATGTGATGAATTATTAGAGACACAATTAGAGGAAAAGGTATGGCCAAGTAGAACAGAAGACTGAAATCTAAGAGTGTCATATTTGACAGTATTTCTCTACTTTTCACCTTTAGGTAGTAGATACAAAAATATCTATACCAAACAAAACAAAAAGCTGAAAATCTAGCAATGAGAGCAGCGAGAGAATGATGAATGAAGAAATCTTTCCAACAGTAGCCTTTCTTTAGTCTGGGTCAAGACTATTTTGACTCAAGGGTGGGATACTCAGTTTGTCTCTAGTGCACCAGAAACATAAAGATATTACATTTTCCCCTTTTGCTTTTCATCAAAGGTTGGCTTTTCCTTAAAATATATCAAACTACAACAAACACAATAACTAACCTCTAAATAACTGAGTACAGTGTGTCCTGATCTACTATACAGCTAAGACGCTATAAATCCTATAAACTTGGTGTTTAATTCTTTGCAGCAATGGACAATGGCTCTAAAATCATGAACCATGGTACCAGGTTTATTTGTGGGCATAAAACACTATTTGTTCCCTTTTACCCATGTTAATAAAAACAGTGGCTTCTAACTAAACTTATTCATTTTACTATTTATAATAAAGGTCACTTTTTTTGGTGGAGGACTAATACAAAAACAAGAAAATCAAATTGATCAGTAAGTAGTCTACTGTATCTTTCAGTAAAGTGGACCAAAGTAATTTGAACGACCTTAAAAAAACACAATAACAGTTTAACTAAAACACTTAACCTACTCTAAAAAATTTTATTATTTTGTATTTTGTTTGTATGGTATTGATACAAGTTCTGTAAAAGTTCAAATTTACTGCTTCTATTACTGCTCTTTGACCAAATAATGTTAACTACTTTTCTAATAGCTTGACTTGGGCCCAAATGTGCCTTATGAAAAGCTGGAAAATAAATCCTAGGTCACAGGTTGAGCATCCCAAATCTGAAAACTGAAATCCAAAAGGCTTCAAAATCTGAAACTTTCTGAATGCTAAGATGATATTCAAAGGAAATGCTCATTGGAGCATTTTGGATTTCAGAATAGGGCTCAGTCTCAAAGTACGTAATATAAATATTTGAAAATCTGAAAATATTTGAAACACTTCTGGTCCCAAGCCATTTTGGATAAGGTATACTCAACTTGCAATTCTAATATAACCCATTATTCAATTCCAGTAAAAGAAAAGGAACAACTGTTTAAAGCAGTCATAAAAAAAAGTTTGGTTTTTGTCACCTTTACTTTATTCTTTAATAGTTTACCATACCAATGTCAATCCTACATTAACTCACACATTAATAAATTCATTCACTAATTCACCAAGGACTATTTCAGGTATAATTCTTCCCAGGCCATATTTCATATCATAGTCCTTGCTGTTAGCTCAATGAAAGTATTTGGGGACTGAAACAAAAAGGAGTCTCCTTCAATTAGAGATCTTTTAATCCAGTTTTCAAAAGGCAAAATGCTGTGATAAAATCTGAACTAACAATCAGTAATCTATAAATTGTCTAGCATAAAACCTCTCAAACTGGGTTTTCAGAAAAATAATACTGAATAAATGTGTGAATAGATTTAAGAAAGTCAACATCACTTCAGAGAATTAAGACTTCCTGCAAAAAGGGTTTTGGATATAAATACAATTATGCATTTAACTCAACAATTCACTGAAATACCTAATCAAAAAACAGAAAAAGAATATTTAGGTACATGATCCTGAAATAACTAGATAATTTCTGCCAAATGATAGGAGCAAAATAAAGGTATAAAAGTTATAAACATATTGGAGAAAATGAAATGGAATTTTCTTACCCAAAGATGACTTTACAATTGATTTAATTCCTGCATAAACCAACGATCCTTTGTTGCCTGGAGATTTCTGATCCATATCTTCTGTATATTGCTTCATAAGTATTTAAATGCATAGGAAATACTAGTGATGATGCGTAATAAAATATTTCAAAGCTAAACTTATTTTTATTTGGAGCCAATTCATAATAGGTGTCAGTGCAAATAAAGAGGTTCTACTCTACTGCAGAGATACTTTTCTTCCTCCTCCAGAATCTACAAAGTGGTATTTCAAGTTCAAGGGTTTAGAGCAATTTTACTTCATAATGTTAGTATTATGTAACTTGTATTTATATATAAACCATTCAACGTATTTATAGACTGACCTTTCAGCAAACTTCAAGAATACTTCTACCTGATTCACCTCACAAAATTCACAATGCAAAGGATATAGTGCAGAGTATACCAGAGTGACTTGAGCTGTGGATCTTCATTTCCAGCTAAAATGTGGTTTCTCCACACCTGCTCTGTATCAAGTCCATACCTCGATAAAGCCCGAAGGCGCATCTTCGTTGCTATATCTTTTTCTAAGGAATTATCATTTTCTTCTTCTGTACATTCATACAAATGACGACCACAGGCCCACATTAAAGATGTAATTGGGCTCCAGGCAAGAGATATCCTTTCAAAAACAGTGAAGTCAGACATTGTTCGGTTGGGAGTTACAACTATCATTCGATTTTGACTTGTTGGATGCCATGCAAAGGAAGCAATGTAATTGTCACAAGGTTGTACACTTCTTTCAATTATTGTGGGCTCAGTTTCATCCCCAATGGGAGTGGGTGTATGCTGCATATCATATAATCTAATAATATTACTATCCCTTGTTAAAGTGGCAAGTAGACCAGTCCTAGTGGGACACCAGGCTACTTTTGTTAAGGGTTTTGGTTGCTCAGTCAAAGTCAAAACTGGCTTCTCAAATTTTCTAAGATCCCATATTGCAACCTGACCTTCATAGAAGGAAGCAACACGATCATGGAAATATGGGTCTACTGTCACACCCTGAACAGCTTTTGTATTTACAAACATCTTTTGGCTTGTATTCCGAAGATCGAATATAGCTAGGTTACGATGCATACCAGCAAGGAGAAGTTTCTGGTCTCGTGGAAGCCAACAAAGAGAGAGACAAGCGTCATTCTGTCCTAACTCATAAAGAGGTTTTGTTACTAATAATGTTGTTTCAGTTTCACCTGCTGAAAGTCTCACTTTTTCCATGGGAACTATATCAGGAGTGTATTTGCTGCAGATATCCCATATTAGCACTGAAAAGTCAGCTCTGTGCTTATCTAAACCA